CAGATGCTAGCACCACGCTGTAAGACTTCCCAGCCTCTAGAACTGTGAGCTAAATAAACACCTATTCTTTATCAATTACCTGGTTGGAAGAATTTTGTTATAGCAACAAAGTCAAACTAAGAAACAAAAAAAGTCTGGAAAACTCTCACTATTTATCTCTGCAGTCCCTTCCAATGATTACATTCCTTGTTTCAGCCTTCTTACCAGAGAAACTCAGAATTTCTAAAGTAACTGCTTTAGACATAGATTTACAGTGAATATTATAAACATTATAATGTTCTCTAGCTTTTCATGAAAAAAACTCAGGAGAACGAATATATATACTAGCTTGAGATGACTCCTGTTTGAATATAAAATTTAACAGACAAAATATCTGGTGTCAGCTTTAAAAACATTTTTTTTTTGCCAGAAAAAATACCCTATATCCACCCAAACCAGAAAATAATACACTACAGTCTCTCCTAAGTGCAAATCAGAACAAAGCAAAGAAACATATCACTACAAATGTATGAGCTTCATATCCTCTCACTCATTTTCTTAATTAAATAACAAGTTGCTTAACTGGTCAAAGGCAGAGAGTGGATCCATCTCCTACCCCTGACAATATTTTAGAATTAGATTTATTATTTCCATCACTCATGGCTCAAAAGCAATGGAAAACATCATTATAATGTTAAGTTCAAGCTTAATGTTATGATTTCCAAAAAGAATATGGTTATGATGTTACAGAGAAAAATAGAACTTGGGAAAATGAGAATCTGAAAATGTCTAGAAGTGACAAACATAATAATCTATTTCCTCTTCTGAAACTAATCTAAAATTAATTGGAATTCATCTATAACACAAAGTTATACAAAGTACTTAAATTTTCTCCCCAAATTGATCTTGAGTGATTAAAATTCATCAAATACCCCTGCTCATTGTATCCATCCATACATCTTGTATAAAGGGCAGGTTCAGTTTGTACATTACATATAGGCACCAGGCTGAAATCCAACCCAAAGTCTAGACACATTGCTGTGCTCCTGGTATCCACAGGTCCTTCCTGTCCCTCCCCTCCTCTCTCATCCCAGGGGATGTCCTCTGTCATGATCAAAAAACAAAGGTCCTGTTTGTAAGTCAAGCAGTGTGATAGTACTCTTTCTATCTGAGGGGATGCCTTTCTTTAACTGCCACACAGGCTGATTAGTGACCTTGCCTACATAGGCTAGTTACCACAGGCTAGCAGTGGCCATCTTGGCTTACAGTGACCTTGTTTATATACTAGCAAATACAGTGTTTGGCTCTTCTATGACATTGCTGCTGGCATATTTAATTGAGTGATTTCTGATCAGCTGAGATTTTTACTATGGTGATTTGGATGGTGGGGCAATCATTGATAGAGGTTTTCAGAAAATGCTGGGTTCCTTCTAGCCAAAGATTATGATCACTTACAACTTTCTGGAATCCAATGACATGGCTCTTCTGAAACCCTTCTTGAAAAATAATGACCCGAATTTGGAAAAAATAAAAAGAATAATCTTTTATAAGAGTCCATAAGATTTCTAAAAATTACAGTTGTCTGTTTAGCTTTGATTCTGATGAGAATAGTGCAGATTGCTGATACTGTGTGGGTCCAAACAGATCAATATTTCAATATGTATCAGTAACATTAGATGGCCATTAAAATATCAAGTTCTAAATTAGGAATATCATATAAACTGGAAAGAAAGCCTCCTTCTGTAATCAGAATTTTTAATCAACCTTTGAAAGAGTAGCAGGCTGGGCAGTGCTATGTGGTCACACAGCACTGGATGAAAGTCAAAGGAACTCCAAGAGTAAATATCCAGGTAAATGCTTCAAGTCAGACATACATCTGGAGTGAGTTCAGGACTCTAGCAAAGGTTTTCTCACCTCCCTCTCTGATCAACTCTTTTCCAGTACTTACATTTGTTTGATGATAACTAATGTTCTGAGATTTATTAGTCACTATTTTGTCTTAAAGGTTCATCTACTCTTAAAATGCAGATACCTCATGGATGGGAAGAGTGCTATCTTTGGTTATCAGTTCTCTGAGAAAGAGGTGGGGGAGTAGCAATGATTTGGGAAAGAGTTGAGAGGGTTTCAACTGCAATTTCAAGCAGAATGGACTCTACTCCAGAGATCAAAACAACTCTATGTGGTCAGCTCTGCATAGGAAATGATCATTTGACTCAGAGAGACCTGGACTTCAGTCTATAACTAACCATGTTTACGTGGACAAACACTGCTTCTCAAGCTATGATTTTCTCCTCAACAAATATTTATGTGCCTTATACCTGTCAGGCATTGCTTTAAATGAACTCATGAGAGTAATAGTATCTATCTTCTAGGTTTGTTATTAGAAATACATGAGACAATCTTGATAAGTGGTGCTATGTTCCTGATGGAGTAAGAAGACCCTCATGGATCAAGTAAACATAAGGACAATTTCTTTCATCTGTACAACTCTGCACAGTTTACAAAGCACGCTCACATTGGCTGTCTTCTTATGGCAAAACTGTAGGTAGAACTAGCCAGAATATTGGATGTCCCATTTTACAGTTGAGGGAGTTAAGTTTGGCATGATTAGTTGTAATCCCTACTGAGAAAGATGATTTGCTAAAATAAGCAAATTTTGGCCTGGTATTTTGTATTTATTACTGATGGAGAAATGCAGTATGGCTTGGAGAGATTTTGACTTTCTATTCTGAAACATATAATGAAAGATGCTTTTAGGAAAAGTATGAGTTGACTAAAGGCTGGTACATGTTGTTAAAGTAGTAAAAAGTTACTGGACACAAAGAAGAGGGTGCCGAACAATTTAATCTGTAATGGAGAAAAGGTATTGGCAGAGTCCCTACTGCTCTTCATTGTCACTTAAATATTGAAAAACTAAGGAAGGGAGAGATTTAGGTTGGAAATAAGAAAAGATTTTTATCTCACCCAAAGTTTCCTAAATTTTGGAAAAGTCTTTCAATAAAGAGTCTGGAATCTCTTTCATGAAATATATTTAGAAATCTTGGATGTTTATATAAATTGGAATCTTATTCAGAGATGAAAAATGGAACCCGAAAGCATTTTGCAATGACCTCTTAGAAATCTGATTCCATGGCTTGGCATTGTGTAGATGCCTTAGTGGTAGGAGAGGAAAAATTCTATCATTATACTTGTTCCAATCCTTTTCAACTAAGTAAACATTAGTTTTAAAAGCAGCAAAAATGAAATGAATAGATTTCAAACATTTCAGTTGGATGCTCAGACTATGTCTCACCCACAGCGGAACAAAACCTTTTCTATTGATCAGACTCTACCCTTTCGTTGTCTGTCTGGAAGAAGCATCCACCAATATGTGGATGTAGTAGGTCCCTCTAAGGGATTTTTAACTCCATCAAGCTAAAGACTGTGAATAATACTTCCCCGTAAATAAACAGGTTATAGAAATATGCCTGCTTCCTCTGTTCCTTCTAGTTTTGTTACAAATTAAAACCTTAGACTGACATGAGAATCAGAAGTTGTTTTTTAAGGCATGTGACCTTGCTAAGGTTCTTATTTTTAAATTCTGTAAAATGCCATATGTGCCTGTCAACTTGGTGTGTGTGTGTGTGTGTGTGTGTGTTTGTGTGTGTGTGTGAGAAAACACTCCTCTATCTTTGAAACACGGCCTTTTGGGGGATAAGAAACAAAGATACCTTCTTTGACTAAGGAGGAGAGAACTTTGCTAAGCGGGGATACAACTGCCTTCTGGTCTATGAATATATGGCATGAGTTCATAGAAGGTGCTATCTTCATGACCTGCTGTGGTCAGGAGATATTTTTTCCCCTTGCACCCAACTTATCTTTAGATACATCATGTCATTAAACATTATTAAAAAGCAAATGAGTTTGGCTTCTTTTTTTTTTTTAAATCAATGTCATTAAACATAGATGAAGGGAATTCAGTTGACTCTCCATGTCTGTGGACTCTATTACCATGGATTCAACCAACCTCCGGTTGAAAATATTTGAAAAATTTGCATTGATACCAAAGTGGTAGATATTTTTCCTTGTCATTATTTCCTAAACAATATAGCACAACAACTATTCACGCAGCTTTTCCATCATATTAGGTATTATAAATAATCCAGAGATGACTTCATGGATAAAGGAGGATAAGAATAGTTCCTATGCAAATGCTTTGCCATTTTATGTAAGAGGCTGGAACATCCTTGGATTTTGGTATCCATCCATTGGGGGGAATCCTGGAACCAATTCCCAGAGGATGACTGTATACTAAACAGACCTAACTACCAAATGCAATCCTTGGTTAGATCTTGGCTGTCTTAGTTCATTTGTGTTCTATAACAAAATACTTTAGATTGGGCAATTTATAAATAGAAATCCATTTCTCAAGTTTTGGAGGCTGGGAAGTGCAAGATCAAGGTGCCAGCAAATTTTGCATCTGGTATGGACTCTCTGCTTCCAGTGGGGCAATCTTGTAGCATTCTCAGGAGACTGAGGGCAAAAAGAGTAATGTGGGTGAAGCCCTCATGTCCTAATGGCATCCCAAAGGCCCCACTTCTTATTACTATTACATTGAGGATTAAGTTTTAATATGAATTTTGCAGGGACACAAACATTCAAATCACAGCATTAGTTTTTATTAAACAATCATGTTTCTTCGTGCCTGAAAAATTTCAAAATAAAAAGTTGAGGGAGAAGAAAAAAGAAGTAGTAGCTCAACCTCTTCAAAAAATTACTCGAGGTGGTTTGGTGGTAACCTAGAGGCCAGAGGGAATCACTTCAAAACTTGTGAGAGGCCAGGATTATAGCTCTGTGCATTTTTGATAAGACATTTGGTACGATGCCTTTTAGAGCTTAAGTCATACTTTCTTAAGAGCTTTAAGTTCCTTAAACAGAAGAACTTGCAAAGGAAGAGGATGCAGTTCCTAGGTTATGAAACATGTTCTATAGCCGGAAGCTTTAATTACAACTTCTTTGGAGTTCATAGTATATTGTCCTCTTTAATCCCCAATCAGAGGTTTGAGTCATCAAAATAAATCTGCAGGATTTACTCACAGAGTTTATTATTGAGCAGCTCAGCTTCAGTTTCCAGGGATATGATATATGACACCTTCTGCCCTTTGACTGCTGATGTGTCTCCTGATCTCCAAAGCCAAAGCAGAGTCCAAGATTAGGGCAACATCTATTTAAGGGTGTGTTTTTGCAGGTGCTGGTTGGCACATGACGACTGAAGGTAGGGATGATTCAATGCTGAGAACAATGTGGAAACTTCACTGGGGAAAGAAAACACTTCTGGTAGGAGAAGTTCAAGTTGACATGCATGTATAATAACTCCATCAATTTCCCCCATGAGGGGGTATACACAAGGACGTGCGTGAGCGCGTGCGGAGCTGGGGGATATCTCTGAAAGATGACTTGGAAACCCGACTGCGGTTCTTTGGAGAAGAGGATTTAAAGGTTTCTGGCCTGCCCGGAAGAGACGCAAGACTGGGATTTCTTCTGGATTTTAGGAAGGATGAGACCCAAGACCGATGAATGCATTCATTCGGATATTGGTGAATTCAGAGTAGCTTGTGATCAGATCCACCCCTCCCCCTGAGGTTTGCGGCGCCGGCACGAAGCAGGATTCCCCAAGCTCCATCCCTCGCGGCGATTCGCTGTCCCAGGAAATTCTCCTTTCCCAACTCGGGATCGGTGTTCCTGACGCGCCACCCCGAGACCTCCCTGGCTGCAGGCTTCACCCGCTTCCCGTCTCACTGCCAGTTCGGGCTGCAGCGAGGGGAGAGGGCTTAAGAGCGGGTCAACTCCGGGAAAACTTGGTCGCCAGACAGAACTGGGGTTTTCGGGCTTCCCCGGCCCTCCCACGCCGGGTCACACAGCCAGCCTTAAAGTGGCGCGGCAACTGTCGCTGCTGTCCGCCAGGCAGGTTCTGAGCTGCAGAGACCCCGGCGACCGGCAGCGCCGCTTCAGCACCGAATGCTCCCGGGACGTGGCCGCCGCCATCCAGGGGCTCCTGGCGGGGGACAGCGGGTGCCAGGAGACTTTGCGCCACGATGCTTTGTTTTCCTGCCGCAGGAACGCGAGGCGGTTGCTCTCCACCAGACTTAACCCGCCCGCAGCAATAGCCATGGAAGTTGCAGCGGCGGCGCAGAACCAGAGGGGACCCGGTGGCGCGGCATCTTTTTTGGATGTTTCTCCTCCTCACGGGCCACTTCTTTCCTCCTTTGGGTAAGTGGACTCCGTTTCTAAATGGCCAAAGAGTAGAACTGAAGGTGAGGGAAGCGAATTGGAGCAGCACAAAGCGTTCATGGGCTCATTGCTGGGTTTGTCTTGGGAAGGGGTCTAACATCACCCCCACCCCAGGGCGGTCCATTCCAAATATCGCAGTTCAAGGAAGAGTTGCGTTTGATTTCAGGCATGTTGCAGTAGAGGGTGCTGGGGTTTATGTACTTATTTATTTTTGGTGCATTTTTCTTCCCACAAACTTGTCTTTGAAAACATTCCAAGAAGGGAGATTGAAAGTGGAGGATAAGAGGAAGCCCTAGAAGTCAATGGCTGGGACAAGGTAAGAGCGGAGGTACCAGTGATTTAGCAGAAAGATGATCTTAAGGGCCAGAGACTAGTCTTTATCCCAGATCAGCAGCTGTAGACTCTCATCCTGCTCCCCACTCCAAGAATGTCAATCCCAATCCTCCCCAATCCTTCAGTGACTGCCCTACTGATGCCATTCTAGGGGAAGGTCTTTCATTACCCCGGGGCCAAACATAACTTCTAATGAGGACCTGCAACCAGGATGTTAAGTAAATAAATGTTTGTTGATTGATACTAAATCTGCATTTTGTGCCACAGAATTTTGCCTTGGACAGTGAACTAATTCCCTGATGTTGACCCAAGTATAGCCCAATTTATTTTGCTAAGAGGAGGGACTGGAGTCTTGGATAGCACAACCTTTAGATCTTCATTACCCCCAAATAATCCAGCTGACAGCTTCATAGTCAGATTCCTGGGTCCAGGGACCAGATGAGCTCACAAGGTTCTGGCATAAAAAGTATGGGCCTTTGGCTCAGGCAAACTTGGGTTTGAATCTCTTTGTGGTGACCTTGGAAGGACTTCTTTATTCTCCTGAGTCTTGGTCTTCTCATCTGTTAAAGCAGGAGCTTTCTCAAAGAAATGTAGGGAAGATGAATGGAGAGGAAATAAGAGAAGGCGAAGGAGTATCCAATAATATCAGTCTTGCTTGCCCATCCTTGAAGAATTCAGAAGGGAAGGAATTTTTCTATGCTGACCTCTCTCTGACTTGGATGGAGGTAAAAATATTGCATTGCAGTCCCTGGGCCTGTGAAGTTATGGAGGAGAGGGCAAAGTGATGCTCCAAGGCCCTTCTTAGAATCAACTTTCTTAGGGCTTGGGAACGGAATTTCCACACATCCTAGGGGATGAATGGGAAAGGCAGAAATTCTGAATATCTCCTTTCCTTGTCTCATCCATGCTCTCTGTCTTCTACTACAGGAGGTAAAGTGTGGAGAAGGTAGCTTTGAGGCACCTGGGGAACCTGCCCAAAGGGCTGAGGAGTCAGAGTAGCACCATTGGAATGGTACCATTTTCCCCGGTGCGTGGTCTGCAGAGAACTCAGGGCTCCAGCTTGGGCTGCCTGTACAGTCAGTGACAAAGCATTTAGCAACTTTCCCACAGACCACGGTGGCCCTTTATGGATCTTGCCCTTGGATTTGGAGACCTGGATGTGTTGGGGAAAGTTGGGGGTGGATGATGGAAAAGGTACTGCTGACACATGGCTCCACAGGGTCTCATGTTGTGGCATGCAATTCAGAGAGCAAGTTCTAGTGTAGGGTTTCAGGGCCACAGCTGGGTGGTTGGGGGTGGCAGTCATTTTCTCATTCATAAGTAAAGGCAACAACAATATAACCTGACCTTCTGGCACCAGATACTCTTATTCTTTTCCATAAGGCCAGCACCTAGCACTCTGGAGGCTGAAGAGGTGTTCAGTTTATGCATATGTTAAATGAACAATGAATTTTAGTAACCTTATCTATACCCGGCAGTAATGATGACTTTAACGACTTCTATCAATTCATGCCTTCATTTAGCAAGCATTTCTTGAGCATCTACGATGTGCAGGGCCCCATTACTAAGCATCCTAGGGAATTTTATATTGATACTTCAGAGTGGCCTCTTTGAGAACCTCAGTACTGGCTTTTCTGGAGACTTCAACACAAACCCCTGTTGTTCTCGCAGGGTTAGAGACTAGGGGTGAGGATAGTGTTCCCGGTTTAGCCACTTTCTGGGAACATGGTTGGGGGTCTCTTTGCACTTCCCGGTCCTGGGTCCTTGGGCTCTCCAGGGCTACTGCTCCCTGGAACCGCCCGGCCTTGGCAACTCCTCTTTCCTCCTGGGCCATGGTACCTCTCTCCAGCCCTCTCCCCAGCCTCCGAGCGGGAGTCCAAGTCGTACCGCAGGTAGCTGGGGAAGGGACCGGGCTGCGCCTGGGGAACGAGCTTCCCCGGATGGGGAGATTGCAGCCGACGCCGAGCAGTCCCAGAACAAAAGGCTCATGACTGGCACTGGCCTCCGTGGAGTGCAGCGGGGACGTGGGTTCGGGGCTCAGGCGGGAGAACCAGGAGCGGGAGGGGACTGGAGTGAAAAAATGAAGTGACAAAAGAAGGGGAGGAGGCGCCCAGGGTGGGAGCGGTGATAAGAGGTGATCCCCGAGGCAGAGGTCTGCGGCGGGGCCGCAGCAGCCCTTCCTCCGCCTCCTGCGGAGCCTTCCAGGCAGCCAAGCGTGTCTCCGGCTGCAACTCCACGGAGCGCGCCGCGGCCGCCTCC